CTCTCGGTCAGCCCTGCCAAGGGAGGGTCTGCATGGACTTCGGCCTCCACCTTGGTCCCTGCCCTGTTCTCTGGGCCAGCCCAACACACCTGCAGAAATGCATCTTATTGTCTGGCACTCCTCCTCAGTGGACTGTACACTCCTTGAGAGCTGTGTCTGCCTTCTGTGCTCGGAGGAGGTATGAGCTCACAGCCCACCCAGGAGATGCTTGCGTGAATGAATGGATGGATGGGTAACTGAGGAGTATGAATGGAGAGAGATCAGAGTGTGGGCAGGTCCTGTTCACCCAGGAGAACTGGGAAATGGCCCAATTCACTCATCCAAGTCACCCCACAGAACAGAACGCCAGTGTTCTGATGCTGAGATCCAGCGATTTGGCCCTCAGACTAAAACAAGTTGCTTAGAATTCCATCTGGCTGTTCTTGGCCTGAGCATAAGGCAAACCTGGACAGTGTGGGCTGGGAGCTTCAGACCCAGTCATGCTGCACAGGCTGGGCAGAGGGAGTCCCAGCCTGGCCTCCCTGGGCCTACTCTCCACCAGGGACTGTGGAGGAGCCATGGCTCCACCGTTGTCTGGAGTTGCCACAGGGAAAGCAGGGCTGGGCAGGAAGGCATAGTTCACAGAACAAAGTGTCAGCAGATCAAGCACTTTCCCCCCACAGGTGAGACTTCGGTTACCTGGTTCTATCACCCTGTGGAGCAGAGGGCCAGGATGTGAGGGTCAGCTCTGATTTGCATGCCAAGGTCACCTGTTGAATGGGGCAAATATTCTTGCTCTGCTGCCTGGTGGGGCTCTGTGACATTCAAATGAATAGTGACTGAGCCACTTAAGCATTGTGTGGGGCCCTCCACCCATGCTGAAGCCTGGATCGGGCACATGCTCATTCTGAAAGGCTGTCCACACCTCGGACGGACGGCTCAGGGAGCTGCACAGTGGACTGGGGAACCGAGCTCCGAGACCAGGACTGCCTTCTCACTGACATGTTCTGGAACTGGCTTGAATTAGCAGGGTGACTGAGCATTTTGTCACCCACAGTCCAGCTGCTACAGGGCAGTGGTAATGATGTTAGTATGGTTAGCACTTGTACACCACCTGTGAGGAGTACAACTTTTTTGTGGTCACTCATGACAATCCCCTATTAGCAGATGGGGAAATTGAGACTTTGAGAGATTTGCTGACTTGTCTAACATCTGATAGTAACTGATCAGCTGGGCTTCAGGCGAGATCTGCTGAAATTTAGGTGGGTAAGTGACTAGAAAGTGTTTAGAGGGGTGGTAAAAAAAAAATGGGTGATGATGGCTAAGTAGATGGATGGATGATAATAGAAGTTGGATGATGGATGGATGGATGGATGGATGGATGGATGGTGGAGAATGAATGAATGAATGAATGAATGGTACATAGGTGAATGGATGGTGAGTGGATGGATGGCTGTTGAATGGGTAGATAGATGGATGGATAACAGATGGATGGATGGGGGGATGATGGATGGGTATGTAGATAAATGGATGCTGGTGAGTAGATGGATAACACGTATGGATGGGTGGAGGTGAGGGTGAATGGATGCTGGGTGAGTGGGTGGGAGAGGATGGGTGTATGGACGATGGATAGAAGACAGGATGGGCAGTGGTGAGGGGTGGGTTTCTGACTCTCCTTCTCTGATGGCATTTCAGGTGGCAGGCTCTGTGTCCCATGCTGGCTGAAGTTGGGATGCTCAGGGTGTCTGGAGGCTCCATGTAGTGGGGTCTTCTGAGAAGATGGACTCACTTCTTAGTTCCCATGCTCTAGGCTTGAGTGGCTGCAGCAGTTAGGCGTCTGTCCTGTGACCTCAGCTTTGTGGCTTAGGCTCCACCCCGCCCGGGATTCCACCCGATCACCCATCTCTATCTTTTCCCTGCACCTTGTCCTTCGCCTGTGGGTCAGGTCCACGTGCCTCACCTCCCTCTCTGAGTCATTGACTTCCCTGATGCCTGGGGAGTGACTGTGGGGCAGGGTGACCTGAAATCCTCTCACTTCCCCCCAGGGTCTGCTGCAGACACACAGCCTCTCCGGACCCAGGTGGCATTGGGGTCATTTGACCTTGTTGCTGGGACCAGTGGGTTTAATGCATCCGACGCTTCCATTATGGCACCCAGCTGGGGTGGGGAGTAAGATGTCAATACAGCCCTGTGTGCCAACCACTGCCAATCCAGCCTGGGTGATAGTCAGATGCAGGGCCCATAATCGTTACCAAAGCAGCGGTGACAGAGCTGAACAATTAGTCCCTGTTCCCTCATCTGTCCTCCACCAACACAATGCAGTGGGCATCCCCCCATGTTACAGATGAGGACGTGAAGGCTCAGAGAGTTGAAGTGACTCACTCAAGGTCACACAGCCAGGGCAGAAGGGAGTGGAAGGTTGTTGAAACTGCCCATCAGAGCCATGTACTTGACCTCTACCATCCCACTCCCTCCATCACCACATGCAAGTGCGTTCAGGATGGTTTAGGCTCTCTGTTTCTGGGGTCTGGGGAGGGAGGAATTAGGGGATCTGGGGCCTGCAACAAAGCTCTCATCTCTCCCTGCTCAGGCTCCTCAGCTCTGTGTCCTGGGGCAAACCACCGTGGCTGAGCTGCGTGAGGCAGGATTCCACTATACACACTCACCCTCACACACACACTCGTACCTTGGCAGGCCAACAGGGAGCCCTTGCACCCTCTCAGATGGAACCCCGAGGGCTCTGTTTGCGTTTCCTGCCTCCTGTCACCTTGCAAGCAGGTGGCCCCCGTGGTCCTCCTCTCTCAGAGTCACTGCCCTGCCGAGCTGCACCTTGCACGAGATGTGTATGGCAACTTGGCCACAGTAGGGGTTGCTGCTTGGGGGCTCCCAGGGTGCTGAGGATAAGTCACATGCTTCAAACCCAAGGCAAGGAAGATGTAAGTGAGGAGGTGGCAATGAGCCACTCCTGTACTATATGATCTCCATCTTCTGTGAAGGTTGCCTAGTGGTGGGCGAGGCAGGCATGACGCCTGTGCCTCCAGGATTCTGTGATCAGCTCACCAATCAGCGGCTGTGACTTGATTGGAGAAAACCCCAGGGGAGGCTGGCCTCCCTGGGAAGAATCCCAGCAACCTGCAGCCTCCCCCTCTCTTAGTGTCCTTGGAGCCCAGGGAAGACTCCAGGCCTCCCACCGATGCCAGAAGAGGACAGGTGACTTGGCCTGGTTTCCTGTGCTCTTTGCTCCATGTGTGCAAGAGACAAACCTGGACTTTGAGGTTGGCAGGCAGACCGAGAGTTCAGTCCTGGCAATAGCACAAATTAGGACCTAAATTTAGTGTGTCACAGTCCCCATCTCACATCTGCAGCCAGGGCTCCTCAAAGACATCACCCGGGGAGGGTCTCCATGGCTAGATCTTCCAGTCATGACCATGGTTGAACAGGCAAGAAGTGTGACGAACTGCAACATGGCAGAGCTTTTGCAAGCTTTCACAGACACCATGCCAAATCCTATGGCATTTGTCGGGGTCACACACATGGGTCTTGCTCAGTATGAAAGGCACATGGGGGGTTCACATCAGATAGTGAAATGCCATCCCCTCAGCCTCTAGAATTGTATATCTAGCCTGTTTCACCTTGGTCCCTGCATAAATGCGTTCTTCCTTTACTTGCAGAAACCTCAAGGCCAACTCTGTGGCCCCAGAGGCCGCAGTGTCTGTAGTTTGAGACCAGAGCTGGGGACCCCACCCTTTGCAGCCATGGATTTGTGGTCCCCACCCTGAATTCAGATGTGCTTCCAATTCTGGGAGTTTCTTCTATATCATTTCTCATTTCTGTCTCCCACGCTCTTTCCTGGAGCTGGTGTCCTCTTGGAAGACGCCAGCATGGTAAATGCTTTCCCACCTTTCTGACATCTGCCAGATCCCGTGAGAGGACTTGTTTGTTTCTAAAGACTCCTGTCCTGGAAGGAGACGTGAATGGGATGTCTCGTGATTACCCCTGGTCAGGACAAGGGGTCATAGGCTCTTCCCTGTCCTAACAACGGCAGGTCCGGTCACCTGTCTGAGTGATAGTGAAACCCTGTGAGGTTTCTTTTTGTGCTCATGTCCTACTGCTGGCTTCAGCTAGGCGCCTCCCTATCAATTGGGGAGGTGGCCTGATGTGCTCAGTTCTTTGTGGAATCAGTGATCTAAAACAAGAGAGGGCAAAGATTCCTCTTGGGAGTGTCACCAGGCAGGGTGCACCACGATAACAACCACCTTTGATGGCAGGTTGTGGGTATTTCCTCCTCCGTGTGACCGATGTTCACAGTGAAACGGCTCAAGTGTGACACCCAGGGCTTCCCTTTACTGCTGTCTCCACTCACGTCTCTTTTTATAATTGTGATAAAATATTCATAAGACCTCCGATCTTACCCACTGTCAGGTGCCCAGCTCAGGGGCAGGGAGCACAATCACGGTGCTGCACAGCCATCGCCACCGTCCACCTCCAGGACTTCCTCATCTTCCCACACTGAAGCTCTGTGCCATTGAACACTGAGTCCTCAGATTCCTCCCAGTCCCTGGCACCCCGTCCTCCTTTCTGTGTCTGTGGATCTGACGACTCCAGGGACCGAGCTCCTAGGAGTGGGATCATGTAGTAGGTGTCCTGCTGTGCCCGGCCTCTTTGAACACAATGTCTTCCAGGTCTATCTATGTTGTCGTGAGCATCAGAATTTCCATCATTTTTTGTCCACCGACGGACATCTGGTTCCATCTCTTGGGAATAATTCCACTGTGAATACAGTGTGCCAATTTCATAGGACACCCTATTTCACTTCTTTTGGGGAACATGCCCAACAATGGAATTGCTTGGTCTTTTGAGTCCTTTCAGCAGACGCTGTCCCCTGACCCATCCATTTGTTGTTACTGTTCCCTTGTCTCAGGGGTGCCATTGTGACTGCTGTCAGCCTGGCATTTGTAACACTTTGGCTGCAGCAGGCGGAGTGTGGCTTTCTGACTCTTCTCTCTCTCTCTCTGATGCAGGCTGCCTTTTGGTCCTGGTGCCAACAAGGATGCCATCTCTGCCTTCGAGTACCCAGGCCCCAAGCGGAAGCTCTACAGCGCAGTGCCTGGGAGGCTCTTCGTCGTCGTCAAGCCATACCAACCCCAAGTCGATGGCGAGATCCCCCTTCACCGTGGTGACAGGGTCAAAGGTCAGTGTCTGCCAGTTGTCCTCTGCTTCTGGGGCAGGAGCAAGCCTGAGCCCTTCTGCCTCTGTTGACCCCCTGGGAGGGCAGGGATGGGGACAGAAAGATGCTAATTAATCCTTTCACTCAATGTCCCCTGTCCTGAGTCTGTCGAGGAGGGAGTCCATCCTGGAAAGTGCAGCCAAGAGCCCAACCAGGGCACTCAGAGGGCAGTGTGTGTCCCTGCTGGGATCTGGCTGCTTCTATTCAGGTGACTGCTTTTTGCATCTGTGTTCAGCAATGCGGTCCAGTCGGGTCTTTTATCCTCAAATCGCCAAATATAGTTTAGCACAGAATTTTAGTTTGTTTTAAATTGTAAATGTAAAATTTCACGTGACCTGCAATTTGGAACCCACTGTGGGGTCGGCTCTTTTCCACTATACATTGGGTGATGTTGATCTTACAATGATCCGTACAGTGTAGCAGACTCATCAGTGCCACACGGGGTGTGGCCTTTGCAGATGTGGTCAGCTGGCAGCCACATGAGCGAGGTGCCTAGCTCGTGACTTCATCCTCGGTACTCACACATATTCCACAAAGACGATGTTTCCAGAACCACTGCTGAGTGTATCACCTAGACTACAGCCCCTTTTTATAATCCATGTCTTCAGCATATCACGCTGCCTGGGAAGCTGCCTCTCTGGGTAGCTGCTGCCCACATCTGCACCAGTGCCTCTCTGCGCCCACGTCTCCCTGGGCCTCACAGGTTGCAAGAAGGCATCATGGAGTACCTCAGAGAGACCCAACAGCTGCCCAAGCTGGTAGTGCCACTCACTGGCCCCGTGGCTTCTATGAGCTCCTTGAACCCATGAGCAGAGCTAACAAGGCCAGGCTGGGACGTGGGGACAGAGAAGCCCATGCCCAGCAGACCTGCCCTCCCCAGTTTGTACCCCTTACTGCCATCCTGTCTGGCAGAGGGAGCCAGATACAGCAGTGTTTGGAAAGAGAAGGGAATGGCAGGTTCTTGGCACTCACTTTGTTCAGGAGCCACAGCCTGGTTTGCACTGGGAACCAAGCTGAAGGTGCCACCGCTCACTGTGGGCGCTCAGCCCTGAGTCAGCAGCACCCGCTGCCCTGGAGATCAGGGTGCCACTGGCTTGTGCACAGATATGCCTTGTTGAGGCTGCAGCGTGCTCTCTCTCCTCTCTGCCATGGGCCCTGTCCTACTGGGAACCCCAAAGTAGCACCCTGGTCTCTGCTCAGCCCTGGCTTTGAAGTTGACTGAGCCCCAATCACAGGCTTGAGCCTTTGAATTAAGAGGTCCTGACCACATCCACATCCATCCATACCTCATGCCACATGGGCTTCTGACTGAGCAAGACCATGAGGAGCCTGTGGGGGCCCTTCTCTGACCTCTGACCAGTTACCGTTCTTGGGGCATCCTTACCATGTAATGGCAGAGGAGGAGGTAAAGGCAGAGACTTATGCGCACTATAGCTTCTGGGTGGGTTGCTACACCTCCAGACTGAGGTCCTCGGTCTGGAAATCGGGCTGGTCAGTGGTTCGCAGCACCTAAAGCCATGGAAGGCTCTCAGGTGTGGCAGGGAGGGTCCAGCCCCACCCAGGACACCTGAGCATGGCCAGGAGGGAGTGCAGAGAGCAAGAGGAGGTCAGGGTTCAGGACAGAGGAGGAGAGCAGTACTAAAAAGACTCCCCTATCCCCGACAGGGGTGACAGGGTGTCACCCCTGTTCCTCCCCCATCCCTGTGACTCCAGAGCCCAGGCCCAAGTGCATGCTGGGTAAATCCAACCTGGGAGGGTGTAGATTCAGAACCACCAGCAAGCCTGGAAATTTAAAGACAGACCAGGGTGCATTCCAAACAGAGGTTGGTGCCAAAAAAGGGGGGAAGGCACCCCTTAGCTTCTCCCAGCTTCTCAGCACCCTGCTGGGGGTCAGAAGGGATTCAGCACAGCGGAATGTGGGAAACCCCCTCCCCACCCAAACTAATCTACAAGGAGCTGCCATGGCTCTCCAGTTTGCAAGACCAAGCCCAGGAGAATCTACGGGGGAGAGGTCCGTATGGTGGCTGTGGACAGCAAGGCCTCTGGAGCAGGCTGGGCCTGCAGGGGGCAGGCACATACACCGTCACTCCTGTCGCGTGGCACCTTCAAGCATTGTCTGTGTTGAGACAGGCACAGCGTTGGGTTCTGGGGTCCCAGGTGTACTGCTTGTGCCGCTCCCCTGCGGCAATGCTTGTCACCCTCTCCTCCATCCAGCCATCTCTTCCGCTGTCCCAGGGCCTCTGGGAACCATTTCCATCAGTGACCTGCTCCTTGCTCCTGTAGTCTTCCCCCTGCCACTTGGTGTGGCCAGCACGGTTCTCATAAGCTCATTTGTGGTCATCTTGTTTCTCTGAAGGTTACGGCTCCTGGGGAGTCCTGGGCCCTGAGAGCAGTGAGGCCAAGGGGAGAACGGGACTCCACAGGGTCCTGGAGATGGCCCCAGGTCATTGACTCCTCGTCCAGTGCTCTTTCTCTTCTGCAGCACAAAGGTGACATCCTCCTGTCTTCCACATCTAACTCCCTCTTCACTACACAAGGACCACGCACACCAACTGGACGCAGGTGTTTCCAGGAGGGAGTTACTCAAAACCCTCCCTGAAGAATGCAGATGGGCAAACCCCGAGTGTGCAAAACCTGGTCCTTCCCCCACTGCCCATCGCGTGCGTGGGCAGGACTCACACATGGCCACTTAGCACAGGCGAGTCTTGGTGCCTAAGTGTTCAGAACTGGACCCCAAGTCCTACCTTCTCCACATCCTTCACCCTCTCTTCCCTCCACTCCTCCAAAGAGGACCACAGCTAGTGGTCCTCCATCCTCCCCAGGTCCATCTCAGCGTAGGTTCTTGTTGTCTCTTCCTCCCCTGAAGGGACGGGCTCCCTCCCTCGTGATTTCTTGAGTGTGTTGCCCTGGGCCTCTGTGTGGGCCTCTCTGTAGAGTCTTTCGCCTTTTCTGGGGCCTCATCTTGACTGTAACACGCCCAGAGCGTGTGCTCAGCAACTATTAAACGTGGAACTAGAATGCAGAATTCTCCTGGAGCAGGCGATGTGGCAGGAAGCCAGCAAGCAGGGGTGGAGTCTTTGTTCCTCGCTGTGTTCGCATGCCTCTGCTTACACCACGAGCTAACTAGTAGTACCCTGCTCTGACAAATGAGGAAACTGAGGCAAGCTGTCCCACGTGTGGCACGGTTAAGACCAGGACATGGTGGAGTAGATTCTTTTCCATCCAAGAAGAACCTGAGCCTGAGCTGAGCAACTCCCTTCTTGCTGGGCACTTTAAAGTAACAGGGTTGCCTGCTCATAGCCAAGAAGAAAGGACACTGGGGTGTCCTCAGTGGCCTTGGCTGTACAGCACAGAGCAGATCCCAGCCTCCTTTACCACCCAGCACCACACTGCAAGGTGACCCTCTCAGGTCCGGGGATCTGCTGGGAGGCTATGCTGAGTGCCCACCAGCTGGGCTGTGCAGAGTCCAGGGGCCAGCATCGATTTTTTAGGAAATTGCTTCAGGCAGTTACGGTCATCCTGGCCAGGTGGGACGTGGCTTGTCTGTTTCATTTAGGTGGTTTCTTTAGATTATTAAGCAAGAACTTATAACACCGATGTTTTCTGTTCTGTTGACCTTCAAAAACCGTGTGCCAGATGGATGTTTATCTGGCCTTTGAGGTGAGAATGAAGGATAGCAAAAAGTATTTCTGGTGCCCTGACCCCCTTTCTGCCTCTTGGGCAATTTAAAAGCAGAGAGAGAAGTGGAGACGAGAAACAGTAACACAGCCACATTCCAAGACAGCCAGGGCATCAGGGGCAAACCCGAAGACATAAAGATTTCCCTCCCCACTGTGACACCCAAGCTTTGCCTTGACAGCCGAAATGCTTATTCAAATGGGGAGCAGCGGAGCCCTTGTGACCTCTCCGGCCCCTGGTGACTTCCAACTCATGTTCCTCGCTCCTGCCTGCAGTTTGAGTTAGAAACAAACACCCTTCACCCTTCGTTCCTACTGTGCACCTGGCACGTGGCCCAGGTGGGGAGTGTCCTAAGCGTGGGCTGAGCAGCTCCCCGTCCTGCAGGCTGGGTTTGTCCGGCTGTGTGCAGTGGCCCCCTAGGCCACTATGTGGCCATCTTCCCTTCTCTTTGAAGGATTGGTTTCTTCCTGCCAAAAGTAAGCAAGAAGCCTGTCCTTGCCAGCAGTAGGATAGGTTCTTTACCAGTCAGCCAGCATGCCAAAGGGCCGGGGTCCCCAGGGGCTCAATCTGTCCAAGTAGGTCTTTCATTCTGGCCCTCCCATGCTGAGTCCAGGGCACTATCACAATCAGACAGCCTGCCAGGACCCCGTGAGCGCTGTGGCCCCTCTCTTCAAGCGGTCTTAGGAGTGCCACACAACCAGCACCCAGATTCTCTCCCCAGCCTTCTTCCCTCCAGCCCCCAGGATGGGAGGGCAGCAGGATGTTGGCATTTCTCTCGCTTTGGGAGGCGGTGGCCCCCTCTTTTTCCATCTGAAGTCACCGAGGGTGAGGACATCCAGACCCCACTCCCCTGACCCACATAGGGCATGGAGAGTTGGTGCCAGGTGGCCCTGCATATCAGGCCTTGTGACACACGATATGGAACGGGTAACAATAAAGGAACTCCAAGGCTTCCTCCCTTCCCGTCACCTACAGGGCAGAGGACGCCGCGGGCAGGAGTGGCTTTGTCCTTTAGTACTGTGCTCTCTGAGGGATATTTTGCCAGGTTCCCTCATCCATGGATGAATGGACCTGAGCCACTGGTTCTGCAGACTTGGGTGAGGGCATGCCAGCCCTCACTCCCTCTGCCTAGTGCCTTGTCCCTCCTCAGTCCTCATGTCCTTCTAGCTAACATCTTTCTTCTTCTGTTGTCTCCAGTTCTGAGCATTGGCGAGGGCGGATTCTGGGAAGGCAGCGCCCGTGGCCACATCGGTTGGTTCCCGGCCGAGTGTGTGGAAGAGGTACAGTGCAAGCCGAGGGATAGCCAGGCAGGTAAGGCAGCCTCGCTGTGCGCCGAGACCTGGGTTTCGTGGTGGGGACACACACCTGCTCCCCAGAAGTGTCAACAAGAGCCATGGTTGCATTGTTTGAGGTTGTTTGCAAATCGGGATTCTTCAGATCTTTGGAACATCAGGGACGCTCTCAGTGGGAATGGGGCTCAGTGTGTGCCCCAGAAACTCTGGAACATGTGCTCCTGCCATCCAGGATGACCTGGCAGGTTGAGTATACGTGCGTGTCCACCTCCTTTATGGGTGTCAAGACACAGGCAGCTCCCCACTGATGGACAAAACGCCCTGTGCCCTCCCGGAGCGCCACATGCAGCTGAGGTTGTCCTGGCCTCTCCCTGACAACTTCCCCATATGCTGCCCAGGTGGAAAGCCTTCTAACATGGGTGGCAAAGGTCAGACTTGATGATGTCAGGAGACCACTCGTGAAACAGCGTGGGAAAATAGGGAGGCCGAGAGTCGGGGAGTGGAGCCCCCAGCGTCTGTGTTCGCATGTGTGATCTGCACTGGCTTTTGTGGACTGCCAGACTAGACTGACAGTGCACCCTCAGCAGTGGCCACACGCCCTCTGAGTGCACTGACGTTGCTGTCTCGTGCGTGGACCCGTCACCACTGAACTCAGCTCTGACATGCCCTTCTTTCTGTTCTGAGGTCCAGATGCTCAGCAGGGAGCCCTGACCCCTAGGTAAATTGGCTTGGGCCAGCAAGGGCCTAAAAACACACGCTGTGGGAAGCACAGAAGCGTCACCTTGCACCGGGTCCCCTCAGGTTGCCTGGCTTTGCAGTCTGTTGAGGTTGCCTTGGTGCACTCTGAGGATGTGGCTTTGGGCGGTGGGGTCCAGCCAGACTAAGCCCCCCTGCTGTCCAGGCTGCCCATGCCCAGGCCCAGACACCAGACTGAATTGTGAGGTGTCCAGGCGAGACACATCCACAAGGGACCTTGCAAGAGAAGATGGGGTGCTATGGTGATGAGGCAGCAGGAGCAGGTTTTGCCGGATGTAGCGATGGGAACACTGAGCCCCTAGGACTAGCTGGACTTCCTGGCCCGCAGTGCCTGTCCAGCCCTGGTCTACACCATCCTGTCCTGTAAGCAGCCTGCCCGCTCTGCTTTGTCTGAGAAGGGCAAGGCCTTGACAGTGTCTTCCCTGCCCCTGCTCCCCAGCCCTGCTCTGCTGTGTGGATCTTACAGATACGTTTAGGTCTGATCCCAAAGCCTTTGATGCCCACCTGTTTGCCACAGGTGCGGGGAGCTCATAGTTGTTAGGTCCGAGCAACACTTCCTTGTGTGCTTAACACCACCAGCAAGCGTTCCTTTTCCTGGCGGAAATAGTTACTCCTCAGTTTGGACTAAGGTAAAGGAAACTGATAGGAAAGTTTCTGTACAAATTCTGTCCACAGAACAGTGGACAACTGCTGGGTCACACAATAGAAATGGGTTTGATTTTTTGGGAAATTGTCACACACTTCTCTGAACTGCTGTGGCATTTTACACCCCCACCAGCAGAGTTCCAGGTGCTCTGCCCTCTCATTGTTAGTGGCTGGTATCCATCTTGGTCTTAGCCACTCCGGTGGGTGTGAAGTGGCTTCTTATTGTGACGTCATCTGCACGTTTCTGGTGACTTTTGTAATTAAGCATCTTTTGTAAGCTTAGTTGCAATGTGTATAATGTCTTCTGAGAAGTACCTGTTCACGTTTTTTCTCCTTTCTAATTGGGATCCTTAACTCTTTGATTCAGGTTTGAAGGCGTCTTTTGCTGTATATATTCTGTTTATTAATCCTTTGTCAGATAACTTTGCAAATATTTTCCCAGTCTGTGACTTGCCTTTTCATTTTCTAATTGTGTCTTTTAATGAGTAGAGAGGCTTTTAAAATTCCAAACGAAATCAAACTTGTGTGTGTTTGTCTTTCATAGTTAGTGCTTTGTAGCTTTTTTTGACATTGGAAATTTGCAGAACTTTGAATATGCATAGAATCCAAAAGAGGGCACAAAATAGTTTCTCAGTGTTTCCGTCCAACGAGCTCTTTCCATACAAGGTCAGCTTTGTCTGAGCCCCGGGAAGCTCTTTCTCTTTTGTGTAATACCACTTTTTTTTAATATTTTACAATGAAAATGTGGCTGGCAAATCCCACTCAGGAACATTAATTGAAATAGGTGAATGATTCAAGGGACAAATGACCCCATGAAAAAGTGGCCATGCAGGGTGTTTTGCAAATTGAAGTAGTGGCCCTGCTTGATTGCTGGATCAAACTCTACAAGTTCCACTCGGTGCCACCGACAGCTGGGTCGTTAACGTCTTTCAAATTCAAGGTGCCCACTCACTATAATGTCAGTTCTGAGTTCTGGGGTGGCAGGCACTGTGGCACTTGTCATGTGTCTCCTCTGACCTTGAGGAGCCAGCGGGAATTGCTACCAGCCCAGCATGGCCACTCCCTGCCTGTGTGCGCCTTGGCAGGCCAGTGGCCTGCTGGGCTGTGACCTGTCCTTTGTAACTTCTGATACTTTACACTTTGGCCTGTGCCCAAGTCTAGGCAGCCTCCGTCACGGCGCAGTTCCCATGGGGATCCTGGAGTGTGACCCCTCTATGTTTGCCTGGAGAGAAAGACGGGTCCATTCTCAGGTCAGCCACTCCTGGCTCACTTCCCTCACACAGGCCACTTGGTGTCTCTGGGTAGATTTCATCTGAAATAAAGGTTTGAGAAGATGCAGTAAAGGGTTAGGGGTGGTCATAACCATATTTTTTATTTTCCCATGCTGAGGGACAGCTGTGTGCCCCAATTTATAAAAACTCACCTCTGCATGCATCAGCCTATGGACTTGAAACCAAAGGGCAGTCCAGAACCATGGTGCCGTGTGCACGGAGGAGTGCTGTCCAAGGGCTGCTGGGGCCCATGGTGCTGTGTGTATGGAGGGGTTCTATCCTGGAGGTGACACTCTGGAAATTAATGGTTAAACATGTGCACATCCCCTTCCCATCCCCCTAGAATTCAGTTCCTCAAATCAGGGATGTCTTGCTCTTCCAACAGTGCCTGTCTAGGACGAGCGTGCTGGTCCTCATGTCCGTTGAAAGGTGATGCTGCACTAGGCCAGGAGACAAAGAAGCCATCTGTGATCTAGACCCTCAAACCTGCTCCCTGTGTGTGTTAGCCACCACTTTGGTGACGTAATGCAGTGCACACTTCTCCCTGCCCAGTCAGCACAGGGTGTAGCTCTCCTCCTCAGCAGGCAAGCTGGTTTTCTTTGCCATATGACTGACGGTCCCTGTCCGTTCCTTCGTGGGACCATCACACTCAAGGGCCTTAGGATCCTCTGCCTCCAGCCAGCCAGCATGACCATGTAGAGGTGTCCGCCCTTCATGCAGGACACCACAGGGACACACATCACTACCTGTGACCACCCTTGTGGGGGGCCAGGCCATGTGGTCCTCGGTCAGAAGCCATCTCCTGGTGGTGGCTGTGTCAATCAGGTTCTCCAGAAAAACAGAGCCAGCAAGATGTGGCCATGGCTGTGAGTGGTGGGGACATAATGTCTGTATGAAGAGTTTCATTCCAAGGAATTGGGTCGCACAGTTGTGGGGCTGGCAAGTGTGAAGTCAGGAACCGGTCCTCAGGCTGGGAGTCTCAGGCTGGGGCCAGTGCCACAGCTGGACCCTCAGTTTTGCTTTTAAGGCCATTTACCTGGTTAGAGGAGGCCCACCTATGTTATTGGGGGAAAGTTTTACCTTTGTTAACTGATTGCATTGACCACATCAACAAAGATACCATCACAGCAACACCTGGGTTCATGTCAGGTTGACACATAAGACCAACCTTGATAGTGACAGACACACAGTCCACATGGAGGAAGGAACAGCACCCACCACTGCCCTACTGGGTCCTGGAGCCCCCTCCACCTTCAACGGTGTCCGTTTCCCCATCTCTGAATTCAGATGGACTGGATAGTGACTGGACCCTTCCTTCTTAGAATTCTAAAACTGAACTGAAATCGGGGATGCCCCAAGAGTGGGAATCTGCTGGACACCATCCTTCGAGGACAGAGGAAAAGGGACACGATGAGTCTCTGTCTCTAGCCTCCAGAGTCAGGTAGAATCAGGTCACCAGAGAGCAGCTGAGGAGGGAATGGTGGCCGAATGGCCACGCCTTGGGTGTAAGGTGGCACATTCTTAACTCCACCTCGCTCCTGGGAGCTATTCAGTAGTCTACCCTGTGAGATTTGGGGGTGTCTTGAGCCACCTGCACTGCCAGACCATGTTGGGAATCAGGTCCTCTAAACAGTTGCAGTGACCCTCAAGGAAGTGACCTGGTGGGGTTCCCTGCAGAACGGGCTTCCGGAATCTTGTGACTTAGTGTGTCCAAGGTGGAGTTTAAACCTGGTGTCCAGTTTCCAAGCTGTCTCTTTATGGGGACTGCCCCATAAAGTCCCCTGCTGGGGACTCTCCTTTCTAATTTGCCAGTGGCCCCACCTGTCCACAGGGACGCGTCTAACCAGCTCAGCACATCCGCTGGCTTTGAGAGTCATCCCCTGACTGCTCTGCTCCGCACCCTGCAGACTAGTGGGAATCGAGTCCTGAGATGCCTCCTTCAGAACACGTGCGCTTCTGACAGGCGGCAGGCGGGTCAGCGTACTTGTCCTTCCAGCAGTCAGCTGTGAGAACAGTGTGCCGCTCAGCTGCCTTTGCCCTCATTCCCCACTACACCAGATGTATAGATGATGGTGGTGATGGTGATGGCGATGGTGATGGTGATGATGGTGACATGCTGGTGGGGGATGGTGTCGTGACAATGATAGTGATGGTGGTGATGGCGATAGTGGTGGTGGTGGTGAAGATAGGATGAGGCTGGCGATGGTGGTAGGGGGATGTGTGGTGGTGGTAATGATGATGGTGAGGCCATGGTACCCATCCTGCCCCATGCTGTCTGCATCCCAGGAACCTTCTAGATGCCCCTGTACTTCCTGAAATTCCATCCCATCCTCAAATTCTCTTCTTG